GTGTTCTTGTTGTTAACAAATATGTCTGTGCAGAGGACTACATAAAAATAATAAATGTTCTTCCATCCTAGCAGTAGTTCTGTGGTACCAAAAGGAAGCTGTAGTTCTGATTTCAGTACCTTTGGAATGGAGTGCCTCGAAGCAGGGTGCTGGATGGGAATAGATTTCCTTAAAGAATTATGCGATCAAAATCATATTGCCATGTTCATTTGACATTGTTCACCTAAAGCAGGATATTTTTCATAATTGGTAGCCCCCTGACTCTCATATGAAAGGAATAACACTGAAAGGTTAATGTCAGCCACATTTTTTTTTTTTTTTTGCTCTATATCTGTTGCCAGTGTTGGCCCCATAAGTTTTTTAGCTAGCTTTATTTATCCTTTCTTATGTGTGGAGAGGCAGATATTTAAGAATCTTTCTTGCACAGAAAGCCTTATTCTTTCTTGCTACATAATTAGCACTTGTTTATGACACAACCTCTGATTTGATTTTTAAAACAAATTGCACAGTAAAGAAGCTGATATTTAAACTGTATGGTAACCATGGCTCCAGCTGTGATTCAAATATTGTAAGCCTTCAGGGGTTGTATTAGGCTTAGAAAATAGGAACTGAGGCCTGTAATTTAATGTCTGTCTCTTAAAAACTGCATTTTTTAGGAGAGAAAAATGCATTCCATAGAATTTAAAATATTGACTCATTCTGAGAAAACAGCCTTTTCGAACCTCACTAGAGACTACTCAGATCCATTAAGTTAACAGTGGAAGAAGGAGCAAAGGAAGGCAATAAAACAAAAAATCCGTTAAAGATTGCAGGGAAATGATGTCCAGTATGAAAACAGAGTGAGATAATGGCTTTAGAACACTGGGAGGGAGAACGTTGAGAAGGCAACCTTAGAAATAGGGTAAAATATTCAAAACGTTTGAGTTTTAGTGTAAAACTGAAATGCTGAAGGTAGTTCAGCAGGATAATACATTGAATGTGTTGGTGATAAATGGAATCATGCTTGTAAAATTTGTGTAGAAAGGTTGCGTTTCAATTTCTGCACAAAACAATTATGTTGACATGGTTAAGAAACTTTGAGGAATTGTTGTCGAGATGCCTTGGGATTCTAAAACACCATCAGTTAGCAGCAATTCTTTTACAATAATTACATGGGAGTGTTGAGTTCTTAACATAGGCAAGAAACTTAGCAGAAAAATGGGACATAACAGAAAAACCCTGTCCAGCCATCTCCTTTTTTAATGAATTTAGTGTTATTACTCCATTTTCTGCTGCTTTTCTTAAGATTGGAATCATGACACAGTCTCTCCTGACATGTCCTATTTCTGTTGATTAAGTGTTTCAAGCAAAAAATATACAGACAAATATATGCAAGCACACTTCTTACGAGACTCAGACAATTTCTGTGCATGTATAAAAGCATTTTTTCTAAATTATCTTGGAAATGTGAATTGAATTAACCTGATTTGATTCAGACCTCAGAACTGAATCAGATCAGGTTTTTAAAATCAAACTGGCAGTTCCAACTGTATTATAAAATCAGATTGAATCAAATCTGTGATTCAAAATGGATTTTGACTATTCAACACACCAAGGCAGTTCAACATCTTTATAATAAGAAAAACACATTAACATTCTTAATCTTCAGGTCCCTAGGGGGGGTGCCAAAAGGTCCCAGTGTTCCCACGGAGCCATTAGTTTCTCTGATCCACCTGATTTAGGTTTTGAATAGACTTTCATAATGAAAACATTTTTTTTCAAAAGGAACTAGACATGCTACAAAGCAGCAATCTCAAATAACTTCTTTACAGGTAGTCCCTGGGTTAAGAATGCCCTGTTACAGACCCAGAGTTAAGAATGGAGCCTGTTGTAGCAAAATTTGAGTTAAATACACAATGAGACGAGTTAAATGCACAATGGTTTGAATTAATTACACAATACTACTGTTTTGGCTTACATACACATTCGATTTAAGGACAGATCTTGGGAACAGAACTTGTTCTTAAACTGGGGACTACCTATATTTACAAGGACACCCCTGGATCCAATAGACTTTCTTAGAAAATAAAAAATTAAATGGTTGTAACTCAGCACATTTTAAAGAAATGTGTTAATATGTCCAGAAAGCTAACTAATGCAAGCTGTTGGTGGTATGCTACATTCTGCAGTGGTGGTGAAGTGGTCCTGAGAAAAAGATTCAAATTTGCCTTCTGATAGATGTTTTGTGACTATACCCACTATGGTAGCCAGTTTGAGAATAGCCAAACCCCACCTCCACAGCTGTCATTTTATGATATGAGATAGTCCCAATATCTGTGCCTTTTGTTGTTCAGTCGTTAAGTCGTGTCCCAAAAGGTTAAAGAATCCTATTTTGTATGATGCTTTTCATTAGACATCCACACGCATTCTCATACTAATTCCAATGTTATTTAGATAGGATAGAAGATAAAAGATCTACCGAGTGATTTCATGGCTGAGCTGAGTTTTAATTCATTCTCTAAACCAATGGGTTTCAAATATATATTTTGCATATGTTTCACTTGGCAGAACTGCTGCTTAATGTCTGCATTGTAGAAGATTTTGAGCCATATCCTAGCATTTGCAGTCGATTCACATGGTATTCTGGGTAGATCTTTGGGCTTTATTTTTGCTCATATAAATTGAGGTGTGTCCTAGAACGCACTTTAACTTTGTAGTAATTCTGTATTACAGGTAGTTATTGTTAGTTGCCCAGAGTCATGTATTTGAGATGGGTGGCCATATAAATCTACTAAATAAATAAAGGAAAAGGAGGGAAAAAACCCTACAAAAACAGGATTGTCTCATTGCTACAAAACTAATTGTGTCTCAGTACCTCATCTGGGAAGGGAAAAACTTAACTGCCTCATTAAAAAATTGCCAAATGAAGCTATATGTGGATAACGTGTTGCTTTGTGTGAGATGGTCAGCTATATAAATGTGACAAATGAATAAATAAAAATAAATAAAAAATGTATTGGGGGACATGGCACTCATAAGCAAAGAGTCATATTTAAATTCAGTGCATACGGTATTGCCATTCCTAGTCTATTGCGTGTTAATAATACAAAGTAGCATGCTAACTTTGGTATCATGATGTGTACTGTATCCAATACATGAAAAATGTATTCAGTGGTGCCAAATCTGCTACATAGCAAGTAGACCTTTCCTTCCATGCCATGTTATTGTGCACATAATCTCAATTCTAGAAGGATTTAATTAAATACTGTATGATTAAAAGCATTGCCTTTTTTTACCAGTTTGATAATATAAAATGTTGTTTTGTACCAGTGGATTTTTTTCTCCCCATTAGGGCTGTGGTGATGGAAGATGTGGTAGAAGTGGTTCAAAAGAGTGACCTGAAGGTGCCTGGGTAACTTAGTTGGATGTAATGTAATTCTGTACTGACAATGAAAAGTCCTCTAACAAGTCTCTGGATGGGAGTCTTCCTGAAAACTCAGAATAGGCCTCTGCTCCTTGCAAGAAGATAGGGTAACACAGAAGTGGAATAGGGAAAGGGTAAAGAAAGTCTACTCAAAGTTGCACTAAGAATTAGCTTTTCCTTTTCCTAGTAGTATACACACTTGATCTTAGCCAAAAGGCTGAGAAGCAATGATATATAGAAGCTTGTTGATTTTTTCAAAGAATATGTTACCTTATTAAAGTTACAGCCTTTTTTCTACAACATATACCTGCTTGTTATATACAGTGGTACCTCGGTTTACAAATTTAATTCGTTCCGTGACTCTGGTCGCACCCCAAATTGGTCGCAACCCGAAGGAAATTT